ACCCACACCCACACCCATACCCACACCCACACCCATACCCACACCCAATGCTAAGTGCACAGAATAACTCTCTTCAATTTCATTTCATCAATAATTTTCTATTGTCATTCTCTCTCTGAGTTTGATATTTGAAGGTCAGCATCAGCCTGTCAAGAAAACTCTGATATCTTTGTTTGAATATGATGAAATATAAAAACAGTCTATTAGTTATCGATTTCAATAAACTTGGAAACTTTTGGTAGTTCTGCAATTTGACAAATGTCGTCCGCAAGAAAAATGTTCGTTAATTTTACACTGGGGAACCAAATATAATCGTCAGTTATTTTCTTCGCAACAGATTATACGGAAGAAGGCAAATAAAACTAGAAGAATCCCATCGTGTCATCAGCAGTGAAACTCAGAGAGACATGTTGCGTTCGTTCGATGTCGATTTTCAGATTATATATGCAACCAGTGTTCAACTCATTTGCAACAATATTTAGGCGTCTAGTTGATCCAACCCGACGATTTGCTGTTGCAAATCAATAGACTTTCGATAAATGCTTAAATATGTTTAACTGCTGTTTACTGTTGTTTGCTGATCGGTAGAGAAACGCGGTGACAAAAGTGTATCACTCTCTTTGTTTGCACAAGCCATTTGTTCATCTGTTGCTCTGTAATTTTGATGAAGCGGCAGAAAAAAAATAAACAAGAACGTGGTTACATCAACACAAGTAACACATGTTATTTTAAATTGTACTTTAATTCAAATGCCCTCATCGATGATCAAATATTTCAAGAAACAACGCCAACGGCAAAAACTGTTTCTCAAAAGACAGCAAAGAAGACTAAGAAAAAAGGCAAGCGAATGAACGTAATCTATCTAGCTGTTTTAAATCTTTTCTTTTATCATTTCGAGAATGCGTATTTGGGAATTCATAGTCTCACTTAATACCTGTTGATTGCTCAATGCATTAGTCAATGCATTATCCCCTTGTCGCTACCAAAACTTTTTGTGGTCCGTGAATCAAGACTGGCTTGTTAATTAAGAGAAACCGAACTGTTGCTAATTGGCAATCAATACTTGTTTTTTTTTTCATCGTAATATTTTCTGCTATTAATGCATATTCTAGTTCATATTGATTTTATTGAAGACACAATTAGTTCGACGTCACGTAGAAATAGATAAAAGAGGATATTGTTAAGATCGAAGATTCAATTCATGAATCATCGCATATATGTGATAAAAGCGTTGTTAATTGTTGAAAAAAGAAAGAATGAAAGAAAAGCAAAAAAATCTATGAAATAGCATTAGTTTATCGACCTTATATAATATTCTTATTGTACAATCATGACTTATTTTGCCACAAGAAAAGATAAACAGTTGAAGAGATGAGATGTTGTCATGAGATAATTATTCTATTGTTTAGACAACGTGTGTATTTTATTTTTTTAAGTATTTTTACGTTTTTTTTTCCTTTGATGCATCAAAAGTCTATTGAAGTATAATATTCTGTACATGTTTCTCTTCTGCTTTCACAAAAATTATCACAGCTTTACAATTGGACGTTATTGACAGTAAGAGTATTTATTCTATTATACTAACCTGCAATGAGTGTGTAAGTAGAAGTGTAGATGTGGATGTGGTTTCTTTTAAGCTCACCCTCACCCTCACACCCACACCCAATGTAAACGCTTGTTATGATCTCGTTTATTGTATGCGATGCACACAATGCTGTTAAGTATTACCTGTATGTTTGTTATCATACTTTTATTTGCTCTCTTATCTCATAGATATTTTGTTTTGTGCTCATGGGTGCAGATCATGTGACTGCCAACCCAATGTAAAAAGAGAAGAGTCCAAAACATGGAACAACTTAGAAAAACAAATTAGCTCATTTGAAAATATATTTGTATATCTATTTCAAAAAAATAAAGAAGTACATATATATTACGGGCAAATATCTTCGAACTATCTCTATCCTAATAAATTGAAATAACGCATTCCCCAATAACTTAATAAGAAAGCAGCTGGATCGTCTTCGCTGAAACCAGTGCCATCATCTAAATCATAGACATTTCCATTCCATTTTTCAGAAGATCGTTCATCGGGTGGCAACATTTGTAATGAAGCTAGGCTCGAATTGCAGTAGGCTGGCACGTTGATTTGAACATCTAATCGATCACTATTGAATTGTTGCCAATTGATAAGTTCAAGTGGCCAACGTTGCATATACCAGATGCCATCCTTGGATAAGGAAGAACAATCAAAATCAGAAGATTTTGCAGATGATAAATTATGTTTTTTAAATAGATATTGGGTTTGATTGACTTGACCACTAACATAACAATAGATAAAGTTATAGAATGGTGATTTTTCCATTTGTTTGTATTTATGTGATAGATTTAATCCAACTTTCATGTATTCTAATAAGTGATCAATCAATTTTTGTGCATGTTCTTTTTGTTTTGGTGATAAACTAGTCGATGAAGCAACTGAATGAAATGCATGAACTAATGTAAAATATGATAAATATGCTAGTTCGTCATCGGAATAGCTATTATCACAAACAGCAATTGTCTTTTCATTGATAAGGTTGACATCATATTTATATGATTCAGTGAGAAGATAGGCACCATCGAGAAAACGTTCATCACCACTATAAGCGTAGGTTTGTAATAGAAAAGCTAATATTTGAAGACTATTGAGACCTCGAGTTTCTTGGTAAAAACTATCATTGTTCACTTGAATTGGATTCCAAATACCCCATGTTGTATGCGTGTGATTTTCACCAACTAAATACCAGTCATGAGTTAAAATATGGTTAGTAATGTTAAATGTGAGTATGTAAGCTCGTTGTCGCTCACTGTCATTGTCGGCTAATAAATCATGTACAAGTGGATAGATAAATTCATGGCCAACAATTTCGTCTGATGATGTATCACCTTTAAATTGTAGATTCGAATAAATGGGAGAAGGATACCAGTCAATTGTAGGAGGAAAATCAGTACGTTTTGCAAATGAACGACCAGGGTAGCCAAGAATACCTGTCAAGAAAATGATGACGAAAAACTAATCTATATATATAATGTTCGGTGTGTGTGTGTGTGTGTTTCTCTGTGCCGGGTCAAAGGTCAAATAAGACTCTAAGGGAGAGATCTCAAGGAGCTATTTTATGGGGTACTTATAGATCCTCAAGGACTATCCTATGGGGGTACCTATAGGTCCCCAAGGGCTATCCTGTGGGGATACCTATAGGTCCTCAAGGGCTATCCTGTGGAGATATCCATCGGTCCTCCAAGGCTATTCTATGCGGGTATCCAAGGGAGAAACATGATTCTGTGATTTTGTGATCTAAAATGATTTAAAATGATTTAACACGATTTAAAAATGATTTTAAATCATCTAAAATCAATTTTTCAAGTGATTTAACAAGATTTACAAATGATTTAATTTTGATTTTCAGATGATTTAAATCAGTTGTTTCCCCCTTGGGGGTACCCATAGGTCCCCAAGGCCTATTATATGGAGGTACCCATTGGTCCCCAAGGGCTATCCTATGGGTTACTCATAGGTCCTCAAGGGCCATCCTAGCGGGGTACTGATTGGCCATCAAGGGCTATTATATCGTGATGCCCGTAGGCCCTGAAGGGAGTAAGGCAATAGGGAGATAAGGCTACAAGAAATATAAGGCTATAAGGTCGAAGGCTACATTGCCTATAAACATATGTGCGATATGAGAGTATGAGGCCGTAGGGCTATCTATCTATATACATAATATCGAGTGTCTGTATGTATTTTACCGTGTGAAAAGTTAAATGTCTGAAGTCATGCGTTAAAGGACAAAACAGCCGTGCAGTATGCACGGGTTCTCGCTAGTTATCAAATAATGTTTCTATAATATGAAGATTACCTGAAACTTGATTGAGCAATTCTAAGGCCTCAAAATGTTTCCATGCTTGAATTTTGATCGTTGAATCTCGTATTACTGCATAACGAAAGACCTGACTTGCCAAATACATCGATGTCCAAAGGCCATCATTATCGTCTGGTCCTTTCATGCACGTGCGAATATCACCCCAAGAAGACATTTTACAGCTAGACACAAGACCGTATTTGTCGTGTCTACCTGGCTGATCGAGAAATCTTTGAAAGTGTTCCGCTTTTTGTGATAACGTCCATTTTTCAAAGCGAAAGACAGCTAGACCTCTATTAGTAACTGCTACTGCAGCACTACCTATATGATCCGATATGTCATTAGAACGACTCAGTATAGCTAATGAAGACACATTGACTTGCGACTCTCGATTTGGCATATATCTAGCACTGTTAAAGACACGCCATGCATTCAAATCGCTTGTGTTTGAATCGAACCGCATTACACCATGAACACCGCCGATCCATACACGACTCTCAGATAATTTCGAATGACTAACACTCAATGTAGTTATATTTGCAAATGGCAAATGTCCTATATCGGATCCAGGATTAGAAATTTGTCCTGCTAATCTAGAGAAATACCAATGAAGACGTCCCATTGACATAACTATTGGCGACAGTAGAGTTATTCCTGTACTTTGTCCGATCCATAATTTATCTTGTACATCATTATATACTAATGAAGTAATCGGTGCATCTATAAATGCATTAATATGTTCAAAACGCCATCCTTCATTACCATCATCATATTGTTGAATCCAAAGTGTTGTTTCACTACCAACAAATATTGTCCGTCGTTGTGAACTCCGTGCTAAAGATGAGACAGACACGTTTATTCCATGAAGGTAGGGACTAATCGACAGTGTCAAAAGATCCAATCCATGTAAACCTGAATCGCTAGCAATATACAACCATCCGGCAAGTCCCAAATCTTCTACAAATAACCCATCGTTGATTTTAGTGGTATGAAAAAGAACAGAAGGAAACGAAATGGTCTGTACGATTCTACAGGCAGTAGCGTCTGATTGATTACATAACATTAGTTGTACATCATCTGGCGTGATAAGGGCAGCTGAATAAGACGAAGCAGTCATTTCATTATGGGATGAAACCAAAAGACTGTTATTATTTTTTACATTAATCTCGGGTAAAACTACTAGAGCACCATTGGCAGACAATGACATCCAGGACATTTGAAATTGACTAGACGATGAATGTAGTTCATCATTTTTGTTCATCACTTCAGATAGAAGCCAAACTCCTTCAGAAGCTTGAGAATGATATTGTGGTAATGAAATGACTTGCCATACATAGTTGATATTTTTCAGTATAGACCAAGCAGTTGATTCATTTGCAAATGAAGCAAAAAGATAACGTTCAGCGATGACTTGTTCGTATTCAGTGTCTGGGATCGTTGTTATTTGTTCTCGATAGGATGTCTTTTGAATATTGTTACTCATCGACGATCGAATATTCGTCAATAATAGAAAAACAAGAAACCAAAAACGTACTTTCCACATAGTACGACCTTGTTAAAAGCGACCTATGGACACAAAAAACCGAAAACAAGAATTAAATTATTGTTGAAGTACGGTAAAAAGATACCTTCTGATAGTAACAGACTATTTAATATAAGTTGATAGAAGCAAAACTGAAAAGATAAGAGATAACCATGTGAGATATATAAGCCTTAAAATATATTTCAAGTACTCAAACTTTGCTCGATGTTTGAGAGAGACGTAGGAGAGCATTTATTATAAAAAGAAAGCTAACTGTCTGGAAGACTAGAGTTAAAACTCTCTTTTGATGCAGGAATAATTCATACTCTTGATTAAGAATAAAGGATATGTTTCGAAAGAATCGAGATACATTATTCTTCGAATTGATTATTTAGAAAAGTATTTGTATCTAAAAGAGTTTTAAAATTCAATGTTCTTTTTTTAATTATGATATATGTATTTGTTCTCATATCGAATCTTTCGATAATAATATTTTACAAATATTTTCCATACAATTCAACGCAGCCCGTAAGATACTCTTGTTCGTCTTAGGTTAGTCCTGATCAATAATGTTTCGTCTTTCTCGGTCTTGGATAGTAATAATTCACCAAAAACAGGATACGGAATACTCCTTAACACATCGCCATTTGCTTGTGTACTGGGATATTTTTCCTTGAACATAATGATGAAGACTACCGATATTTTTGTCGTGATAGTCAATCATGCATGTGTTGAAATAAATTTCTCCTGAAATGTCATGCGCGTAATTTCGAACAACGAAATTGCACATAAAGAAATTTTTATCGATTGAGAAAGTGTGGATGTATGTAATGGTATGCGTCCTTTGCTCATCCACACTTACAGTCATTCATACCCATCCCTACACTCACACATATCATACTTAGTTCTACTGGATGTACTCATCGAAATTGTTTCATATGGAATACTCATGGTATATCCGAGTACAAAAAGCTTGCTGTGAAAAAACGTGTATTGGTATTATTACTGTTGATCTATTGATTAGCATGAAGAATATCCCCTCCTCGAGACATAGCGAGCATGAATTTTGCTCGTGTAGAATTGACGAAACGAACAAGCTTCTTGTAATGATATCACTATCAGTGAATGAGAACGCAGAAAACATCAGATAGGGTTGCCTAAGATCTGATTAGTATTCGAAAATATGTCAAGCCCATACTATGAAAGTATATAAAGATAACTGTTCTACTTTCTTCAACGAATTTTGTTACCAAGACGAATGGGCAAATCTTCTTTGGCATTATTCATGATAAGTAGTAGGCATAGCTTCGATTGAATCATCATAAGCAATAGAACAAGCAAAGCATAGACATTGTAATGTTTCCGAATAGTGTTCTTTTAGGTGTTCTTCAGAGTTCTTGTAATAGTGAGAGAGAAGTTTCATCAATGGTTTGAGATGAACACCTAGTGTAAAGGGTTAATGTGGCGATCGTGCTCGCAGACACTATTATATAGAGACGAGTGGAAATCCAATCATAATAAAGTTGTGTAGAGATCTGTATGTATAATTTAAGAATGCTCACACCAGAAATATATCTCTTGACGGATTCAGATCAATGTTTGATACAAATCTGAAGCGATGTAACTAGAACACTAATCAAAGCAATCGTACAAGAGAGAAAACAACAATCTTTGTTTTTTTTCTATATTTCACGGTCTCTTCATAGCATTTGAATATTTGGAGTAGAATACTGCTTCACAAGCAAGGTGAGACCGGTGAAGTGGAGAGTAGAGAACTGTAACGTAGTTGTAGGTCTACCTAGAAGGGCAATGAATGTTGTGAGCAAATAGAACCAACTGAGATGACGAGAATCGGTAGAAGTGTGAGCGATCGAAACACATTGAAGAAAGTGGAATTGATGAGAGCTTTCGATGGCAATCGGTTCGATGAATGACGCTTATTACTTCTTTGGCTTTGAACCCCCGAATCAGTTCTCTACAAGGTTTCTCATCAAGGATCGAAATATTTTGTCTGCTCCTGATATTGAATATACATAGTTTCTGCAGAACCAAAGTCTCATTAGATGTTTTCAACAAGACATCTCCTACCATCAGATTGTCATCGAATGGAGTTACATGAATCCCTTTGATGATGTGAAGCTGAGTATTGTTCATAATGAGCCAGACACCATAGCGAGCAAAATTCGATCAATAAATCTGCTGTAGTTTCAATATGTTAACTTATATGCTGAAGATTGGTCGACATCCGGAACAATTGAAGCGACAAGATTTCCGTTGACAATAAGGTTGTCATTTCAGCGTCGCTCTTCAAAAGAATTTCAATGAAGTTTCTCAATTGGTTTCACCATGACGCCCATGAATATAGCTAATTTTGACGTCCTATGACGCTGGCATCAGTATTTGAAATTCAAACAAGAAAATCAGTGAGAGTGAATATTGTCACAAGTTTCATTGGGTTTGGACTCACCCCAAAATTATTTTACCTAGGTAGATAATCATAAACATACTTTTGGTATCTGTTTGTAGTTTCTGTCAACTGAAGATTGTTACTTACAAAGCATAATATCTGGATCTATTCTTTCAGGAAGCCACATTAGAAAGCCACCACTCAATGAATTACTCTCATCGAACATAGCTAGAAACCCGCTAGTAATATTTTTCTGTCAACAACATTTGGAACTCATGCTACCTCGCTAACAATGGGATGTAGCATTGACCATACAGGTTTCGAATCTCATTCAGAACGTGTTGATTTAAGTTTTGAATTCTGTAGAAAACTGGATTTCTAGATTACATTCTATATGTGTTCTTTTCCCTTTTCAAATTATATAACTTCTTAAAAAAAAACAAAATTCTGGTTTGAAGCATAATACAAGCTCATTTTTAAATGCAATTAAAAAAACAAATATTTTTCAAATTCGTCAATTCGAGTATAGACTGCTTAGAAAGACGTTTATTCGTGTTTTACTGGCGTCGTTCATGGTAGAAAAAACTAAAACAAGTGTATCATGTGTAAGGAAAAGACGCTAGAAACCTTTCAATTTCAATCAATGTTTTTGGAGATTAAAAGTAAATTAAAATTGATTCATCTCGAACAATATATTGAAATCGGTTAATATGATGAAAATAAAATTAGAAATAGTTATTCACGATCTTATTCATCTATAATCGAACATTATGAGTGTGGTCGATTTGCCTAACATAAAGCTAAACCATTTAAGTAGGAGTGTGCTCAAGATAGGATCTGAGAAATCGATTTCTACTCCCGTAAATAACTCTTTTACACGATCCCAATCAAACTCGTCGAAGCCCTTTTCTACAAAAACATTCCAGTGGACTTTTCACATAATTAAACGAACGTCAACAAGTGAAAATTTCTTCTCAAAAGACTTGATAGATTGATGAAATGAATATCGACACTATTCTCTGTGTCCAAATAACAGCAACATTAAGTGAAGCGCATCTACAAATGACAGTTTCATCACATACCCTATTAATCTTAATTTAAATAGTATTTTCTAACATAGAATTGAAATCTGACTGTGCAGTCTTCGGAAAATATACAAAATGCTATAACAAAGAGAAAACACAAGAAAGAAAACGGTTCATTCCATGATTTTGTGATTCTATTGGATCCTAGTGCCTCCAACAGTTCTAAAATGATTCTGGCCATCGTAGTAAAGAGAAAATTGGCTGTTATGTTATCGAGTAGCGAATATGCAAACATTTATGATTATTATTATTATTTCACTCAAGAAATTCAGTTTCACGAAGATAATTAATTTTAATAAACTTTCATTGAAAAAATTTTTTACATTGGAGAAGTTCTCGTTGTAGGAAAATTCTTGGGCCAATTAGACCCTAATAGAGTGTTTCTTTTAGTCAATCAAGACTCAAGATGATCCACCTGTCACAATCTGCACGAGAAGGGAGTTTCAAGGTTCTACTTCTATATTGCCAGACTCCTCTTACATTGTGTTTCACCAAACAGAAAAGAACGTGCACTTTTGGGAATACGTTCAATATTTCGATCGCTTTGTTTCAATGACAGAGAATAAAAGGAAACAAAAAAAGAACAAGTATTCCAAATCGTTTCTGGTACATGTAAAAAATTTCTATTCTGTCAGATTTATTACAGTACAGAAAGTAGGGCGAATATGATTGTTTGTGGCCTCGATATTTCATAGAAGGGAGGATTTGGGAACTGAAGCTTATAACAACTTTTGTTCTATTAATCAAGATCTATCTAGTCTAAAACTTTATGAGTTTTCAGATGAGCTATTCTTCAATAGTACCAGAAAGGAGAAATCTACTTAATTTACTAGGCTAATCATGAACAAGTAATTTTCAGGTATTCAATCACTAACAAATTACTAACTTACATGTTATTCGGTGACTACTAAAGTGCATGTTACGTTCCAGCATATGTGTTAAATGCCGAAATGAGGCTTCAATTTGAAATTCACTTGAAATGTTTTCTGAGTAGGTCTACTGTATGATCACGAGCGCCAGCTTTTAAAGTTACAAGTTCTAGATAACCTATGACAATTAAAACTGTGCTTTCTCAATTTCTATTTCATGCATAATTTGATTGAAAATATACATAAAATCATCCATGTCAACATGAATGGGAGTGTAATAACTACCATGTCCTTTACAGATCCAGTAATGATGTTCCAAATGAAGACTCATTTCAGCATACATTTCAGGAAAAGTCATTCCAGTCGTATATCCAATCTCAATGACATGTGTTCCTGGCGATGACCATAGTATATTCATCATTCCAGCACCATGAGGACCAATAATTATTCGAGCTCGACGAAATAAGGCAATATGATCACGAATATGTCCTTGAGCTTCGAAGATTTCGATATGAAGATCTGACCATAATTTAGATTTATTGAGTGATGATGCTATAAATGTAAACATATCTGAATGTTCAACAATTGATCGTGCATCTCCATCTTTTCTTTTTATTAGAATAATACTGTCTTTTTTCTCGGTCACTGTTAAGTCATCAG